CCTGCGTTCCCACCACGACGATCTGAGGCAGCTGGATGATGTCGGCGCCCACCGTGTTGAAGACGTCCTGGAGCTTGTTGATAACGGGAATGAGCGCCTCCATGACGCGGAAAACACGGGACCCCCGCCCGGCCGGCCGCGGCAATGAATGGGGCTGGGGCCCAGAGTCCGCCTTCTTCCTCCTCTCCTCCGCCCTCTCCTCGGGAGCCGGCACCCATTGGAGCCCTCCCGCCCGCTACCTGCCCCCTCCCGGCAGGCCATGCGCCAAGAGGGCGGGGCCGAGAAACAAAGGCTGCCGGGAGTTGCAGTTCTGGTGAGGAGGACCGCCGGGGCCTACAGCTCCCAGAAGGCTGCGCGGCGCGGGCCGGAGAGACGGGTGTTTGGGGCCGGGATGCTCGTTTGGCTCCTGCCAGAAAATTAGGAAGCGAGGCTCAGAGAATAGAAGGGAAGAGATACACTGATGCCTGTCCTCAAAAATGGGTGTGAAAATTCCAGATACGAATGTGTTAAGTACAGCTAGTCTCTTGATTTTCCAGGATGGTATTTCCCAATGAGGACGCTTTCTCAAGTTAGGGCGGGTTGGAAAGGGTTAAAGAACAGCTCATAGCCTGAGATACCCCGGCCAGGTGCAAAAGGTCTGTAGGATGATACGAAAATATGTGAGGTGCAATTTTATAAAAATACAAAACCAGCCCAGGTTAGAACAAGAGGGTTATCTGGGATATTTCTTTAAATGTGTTCAGAAAGGATCTGAAAACGTTAGGGTTTTCGAGGGGAAGGGCTGGGCCCTTTTTCTCTATATTCTGTATAAATCTTTATTCACCGTGGCCTGATTGCTGGCAAAGTGGAGATCTGATAACTGCCATTCTGGCTGTTTGCTAAGTATACCTAGTGTTCTATTCCTAGGTGTTTTTCATTTAAAATAGTGTCTCTCCTCTACTGCAACCCTCCAAAGGTTTCCTCGCTCAAAATTAAAAAAAAAAAAAAAAGTGACATCTGAGCAAAGACCCAAGATAGGCGACAGAGGAAGACCCTTTCCCTCCTTGATTTTTCTCCATAGGTGTATCTCCATCTTACATGCTACCTATTGAACTTCTTTACTATCTCTCCTCTAGATTATAAAGAGGCCAAGGATTTTTGACTGTTTAATTCACTGACGCATCCCTAGCCCCCTGGAAAGTGACAAACAAGGTAGTCCCAATCTCAGAACCCTCTGAGTTTGCAGTCTAACACAATGACAAACACATGGGCTAAGTGCTATGACTGGACGCATTGGGGAGTACTTTTTCTACTGAGTGGGGAGTGAAAGTTCAAGCAAGACTTCCTAGAAATCACTGCATTGAATCTTCTTGAGAGCAAGGACCACTTGCAGTAGTGGGTACCATTAACAGGCACAGCCATACACAGTAGCCTTGGGGAACATGCTTGATTTGTTCAGCAGGACACATGGTAGGTACTCAATAAATACTTTTGAACCAATGAATTAAATGTCACTGAAGCTAAGACCTGAAGGTCCACTAGTGGTTTTCTGGTATCTGGTTTTATGAACATTTCCTTCTCTCTAATTCTTTTCTTTTCTTTTCTTTTCTTTTGTTAATTTCAGAGAAAAATGAGACAAAAATTTCAGAACTCCAGAAACAGAAAGCAGACCAAAGAAATTTATTCCAAGTCATTATTTTCTAACAAAGATAATAATAATCAGATGTTACCCACGTTGATTCTCAGCCCTCTGTTGATGGAGTTTTTTGTTCTCTTCCTTTTTCTCTGAGCAGTCTGTATTCCTTCCAAGAAGCAAAGGCAGACAAATTAAGGGAATACGTTCACAGTGAAGCTCCGTGGGTGTAACCAGTAACTGCTTCATAGGAGCAAAGTGCCCTGGGACAACAATGATACAACTACAACTGTTTTTCCCTTATTTGTGGCACCAAAAGACATAGTCTTTTCCTATTTGCTAATGGCCAAATGTAAAGAGCAAGCGTACGTATAGTCCCAAAAGAGAGATGTCACGAATTTTGTATGGCATGATGTATTTCTGTTTAAATTATAAAGGATCTGTTGGAGTAGAACATAAAAAGCCTTGTATCAACATGCTTCAAAAACCATAGTGACTGTTTTTTAATTCTGTCTTTTTGTAGGAGGAAGAAGAATGATCAAATGGCCAGTGCTCAAAAGTCCTCCTGTCACCCCCACCCTCCGTTAGGTTAAAGCAGGATTGTCCAGTATTTGTCTAGATCGTAGAGCATTGATTTCATCGAGACAAAGGAAAAGTGATGGAGGCTGCAGAAACAGGAAGTGGTGAGGCCTTGAAAAAGAGTGGCTCTAGTTTGATAACGCTTTTTGTAAACGTAAGGCAAGAACGTCTATGGGCAGTGTGTTTCACTAGAAGCAAACAAAGCAAACCTATTTAAGTTTTCACATTTTAATTTCAGAACACTCTTGCTTGTGGGAAAGCCACTTCGCCAGTAAGTACGTCTCGTCTAAAGGAGGAGAATGTGTTTCTGAGCGGGTTGCTATGACGTACAGGGAGCCATGAGCAGATACTGTCTCCAAAGGCTTTTAAAAAATTCTCCTCCTGCAGCCCCCACTATAGGTTTATGATTTAGGGAAGACAGTTTGGTTGCAAGTCACAGAAATTTAACTCAAGCTAACTGGCTCAAAAAGAGGAATTAACTGCCTTATATAACCAAAGAGCTGACATGGCCTTGTCCTCAAAGAGCACCTGGAACCAGGGGCTCAGGCAGCAGCAGAATTCTCCCTCCCTCTCATCTCTGCTTCTCTCTCCTTCCTTCTCTCAGACCAGTTTATCCTCGTGAACGAGGTGGGTGGGCAGCGCTGGAGGCTGCAGGGGGATCCCACTGAGCAAGCTGCCTCTGGGCAGAGAAGGTTGAGCGGGTCTGGGGAGGAACCGAAACTCAGTTTCCACCCTGCTGTGCCCTGGTGTGTGAGCTTCCTATTGCTGCCTTCACAAATCACCGCAAAAACGTATGACCTCACAGCTCTGTAGGTCAGAAGTCCAGCATGGGTCGCACTGGGCCAAAATCATACTATCATCAGGGTTGCTTTCCTTTGTGGAGCCTCTGTGGGAGAGTCAATCTCCTTGCCTTTTCCAGATTTGAAACCACTCATACTCCTAGCTCTTGACCCCCTTTCAAACATCTTCAAAGCTAGCCACTTTGACGCTACTTCTATTATCACATTTTCCCCTGACCACAGCGAGGAAAGTTTCTCTGCTTTTTAAGAACCCATGATTATATTGGCTCCCTTTGGATAATCCAGGACAATCTCCCCATAGCTAAGCCAGTAATTTTAACCATATCTGTAAAGTCCCTTTTACCATGTTAGGTTCACAGGTTCCAGGGATTAGGGCATGGACACGTTTGAGAGGCCATTATTCTGCCTCCCACACCACGTTAAGGTGACTGGTCTAAGGACGGACCTGATCTAAACAGGACCTTTTAGAGAGCTTCTCTAGAATTTTTAAACTTGAGTTAACCAGATAATCTTCTCTCTCTCTGGTTATGGAACTGTAAGGATGTGAGTCACTGACTTCAGAGATCATGTTTCCTATCACATGGCATAAATTGGTTTTGAAGAATAAAGTAGAATCCTTAGTCACTGTAAAAGAAATTCCCCAAATCCTAAATGTACATATATAGCTCATAATCTAGGAATTCAACTCCTTGTACTTAGTCATTCCCTATTTTCCTTATTGCTCTTTTTACACAATACTGTTAAACTGTTATACTGAGTGCTTACTGTATGTGAGGCACTATGCTAAATAAACATTTTACAGTGTAGAAACTAAGGCTCCAGGTGTTTGGGTAAAGTAGTAGGTTTACAAAGCTAGTAGGTGGCAGAGCTGGGATCAAAACTGACTATTTGGGGAATACTATGCAGCCATAAAAAGAATGAAATTTTGCCATTTGCAGCAACAGGGATGGACTTGGAGGGCATTATGAAATAAATCAGATAGAGAAAGACAAATGCTGTATAATATTGCTTATATGTGAAATCTAAAAAAATACAACAAACTAGTGAATAAGACAAAAAGGAGCCAATTCACAGTTAGAGAACAAACAAGTGGTGACCAGTGAGGAGAGGAAAGCAAGGAAGGGCATGATAGGGGTATTAGATTTTTTTTAAGTTATTCCAAGTTTCATTGAAACTTGAAAATTGTAAAGCACTATAGAATGTAAAGAACTTTCATTCAATTAAAAAAAACAAGCTATTTGGTAAACTCTACACATATGATTCTGCATTCATTCCCTCATTTACTCAACACAGTTATTTATTTTTCAATTGAAGTGTAATTGATTTACAGTGCTGTGTTAATTTCTGGTGTACAGCATAGTGATTCACTTATACATTTATATATGTATATTCTTTTTCATATTCTTTTTCATTATAGGCTATACAAACTATTGCCTATAGCTTTCTGTACTACACAGTAGGAACTTATTGTTAACCTATTTTGTATATAGTAGTGTGTATCTGCTAATCTTAAACTCCTAATTTATCCCTTCCACCCTTCTTTCCCCTTTGGTAACCATAAGTTTGTTTTCTATGTCTGTGAGTCTCTTTCTGATTTGTAAGTATGTTAATTTGTGTCATTTTTTAGATTCCAAATGTAAGTGATATCATGTGATATTTGTCTTTCTCTCTCTGATTTACTTAGTATGATAATCTCTAGATCCATTCATGTTGCTGCAATGGCATTCTTTTTTTATGGCTAAGGAGTATTCCATTATAAAGATAGGTAGGTAGGTAGATAGATAGATAGGTAGATAGATACCATAACTTCTTTCCCCAATCTCTATCAATGGCCATTTAGGTTACTTTCATTTCTTGGCTATTGTATACAGTGCTGCTATGAATATTGGGGTACATGTATCTTTTTGAATTAGAGTTTTCTCTGGATGCATGCTCAGGAGTGGAATTGCCAGATCATATGGTAAGTCTGTTTTTCGTTTTTTAAGGCATCTCCATACTGCTTTCCATAGTGGCTGCACCAAGCTACATCCCCACCAGCAGTGTAGGAGGGTTCCCTTTTCTCCACTCCCTCTTCAGCATTTACTGTTTGTGGACTTTTGAATGATGGCCATTTTGACTGGTGTAAGTGATACGTCATTGCAGTTTTGGTTTGCATTTGTCTGATAATTAGTGATTTGAGCATTTTTTTCACGTACCTATTGGCCATCTGTGTGTCT